CCTGCCATCAGTCTGTCACTCTCCCTGCGCGATTGGTCCGACAGCTGAAGTGCGCAGCAGCGGTTTGTTTTATTTTATGCCGTTGTTTTTATCAGAGGATTGATCAAGAGGACAGTTACTCAAACCTAAAACTTTAAATAATAACCAATAAACGCAATCTACTACGAAGTGAATTAAATCTTAAATAAAATCTCTTTGTGTGGAACAGTCAGTAAACATTTAATATATAAACTAAATACAGCGAGAACCTAATGTAACTTTTTAAGTGCATAACCATAGGGACTCTCTTTGAACATGTTTATTTAAAGAGGAAAAAGCTGAACAAAATACTTTTGTACTTAGTAAGAAAAAAGAAAATGCAAAACACTACTTCTTCCCTCAAAAGTCACGTTCATCAGAAACCACTTTTTTTTTCCAGGTGTACTTCCTGTTACTGCCTGCAGTACTGTGTGTTGGTACTGTACAACAACGTCTGTATTCACATGGTGATTATACAAAAATCAAACAGATGTGACAGTGAAGCAGGAAGTCTTGATGGCAAAAATATAATGATTTTCTCCCCACTTTAACAACAATTTTTCTGATATAATGTGTAGATTTCTTTTGTGACATTCTGAATCAGACAAAAAAAAAGACAAATGTAAAGATGTATGGTTTATTCTTAAAGCAACAAGATATTACAAGAAAAGTCAACTGTACAGTGAAATGCAGTAAATTATTTACGTCTCTGTGAGTGAGAGCACATATCATTGTGTGATGTACTCAATGATGCACATTTATAAGACATCCCAAAACTGGGTTGTAAATTAACTTTGTATGGCGTGTAAAGAAGGAAGGAAGATTCATATTCATTTTTTTACCATTAGTATCATAATCTACAGTAGATGATCTAGACAATAAAGCATTTTTTCTAAACAGATTAAAACATGTCATCACTAGGCTTTTTGACTGCAGATTTTGGTTCCCTCGTCCAGCGCAAGCATTGCTACTAATTACAGTCTAAAGCCATTAATGTTAAAGGAGTGAAAAACAAATGAAAGAAAAAAGACAGGAAAAAAAAAGTGGTCACGAACCAAGTTGCTTTTTCAGATAAAAATCTAGGCATGTTACCTTAGGAAGTCAACGAGAAAAAAAACAATTTACAGTAGATATTGCTTAGGAACAATTCAAATTATATACATCTTTCACATATGACAAAACTAGTAAGGAAATGTTTAAACCAGTGTTTCTCAAGGTGTGGGTCACTGATCAACAGTTAGCTCCTACTGAACAGGCCAGTGATGTCAGTAGATAGTTATATAATTAATGTTTTTGTTTCTGAGTAATCAGATTCTCTCTGTGTAACACAAACTTCCTTGGAGGGAATCATTTCATAACAAAAGCCTCTCCTTTTATTTTTATGTTGCAGTTGCATTGCATATTGTATCTTCAAGTTGAACTACAATTTTTTAATACATTTGAGTAATTAGGTTGCATTGCCTGATGTACAAAAATGTGAATCTCAAGGTTAAAATCATTTGAAAAGCACTGGTCCGAACTACATGAGGTATGTTTTGCCATTTTCTGACACCAAACTCCAAATAAAAACAAAGAGTCAAATAGTCTCAAGGGTGCACAGTGCACTGGAATACTAATGACAATCAAATCATAACAATAAAATGAAATCTTCTCATTAAAGGTCACTAACTGACAAACGTTAACATCAACTTGCATTATACAACTTGACAAACTACAGGTATAGTCACATTTATAATCACCCATGAAATTCAGACTAAACTAATTCAGAGAAAAAAAACACTAACATTCTACGTGGGTTTTCAAAAGTCAGACAGGAACCATTGAAAGTGAAACTGTTAGACAAACACTTGCTCTTAAAGTGCAGTTCAAGGACGAAATAATTCAAGAGGTATGGTTTGAAATTGCCTTCAATGTTGGATGGTTTCCATTTCCGCCGCAGATTTAGTACCTGTTGCAGATGACGGTCTCCACCACAAAAGTGTTCTCAAAATGACGAATGCTGTGGCAGGACTTTGTCTCACGCCTCTCGATACCTGGAAGAGAGGTGGCAAAAAGATCAGTTCAAAACTGAAACTTGTGGTTGGCACTTCAGCTTGCAAGATTGCTATGGCAACACTGGCCGTACTGATTCCGCGGTACGTAGTGATTTCCTGGAATCGCATCCATATATGTACGCGAAGCAGAAGCCTGTCGCATCATCAATCTTGCACCAATAAAAGGAAGCAACGAAAGCGATATTGCACATGCACATCACCGCCTCCACAGCGTGTGTGGATGTGTCCATGGCACTCACAGAGTGAGTCACAGAGCAGGAAGTTCCCTTGCTGTGCCCACACACGCACACACAAACAGATATATGATAATCACATTGGAGGATTTTTAAACTGCAAACTGCAAGTGCTCACCGGGAACTCCATATGTGGTTGTTTTTGTTGTTTTTATGGTAATCATTGATGGAGCTTTAGAACACATTATTATTATATATATTGAATTCCTATATTATTATAGGAATTCATAGCTAACCACTAATGATGAGGTTCTAGTCAGGAGTCTGCCGAAGGCAACAGCCGAAAGAGTTGGTGACTGACAGAGAAACTACATTTTGCTTTAGCAGTAGGTCACAGTAATGTAGAAAAGTCGCATGTTCCAGGTGTTTGGTTTCATATTCGACTGCTCACTACTGTTTAGCTTTGTTTGGCACACTCTTTTTTTCACTGCTAGACAGGGAGGCAATAAAGGTGCTAATTGTGCTGAGAGCACCCTCTGCTGGAGGCCAGTAACTACTTTACAAGGTAGCGGTAGTGCTATTTAAACTTTGACCCGTGTTTAAACTTTGAGTAAAGAGCTAGTAGTTCCACGTGGTTGCTCCATGAACTACTGACCTATTAACAATGGATTGTCCAACATTCATTAAGTCATTCAATTATTGTCAAGCCAGTTATTTGGCCAGACTGATAAGTCTAGTCTAAGTGTTTTCCAAGTGCAGTCTCAGTTAGGCTAGTTTAATGATAAGTTTTAAGAAGTCAAGTGAACCAATTTGCTTTTGCTATCAGATTTTTTACAGGAGACTGACCTCATAATTAAAATAAAGGTCACACCACCGTAATGTGTGTGACATAACACAACACTGCTGCTGTAAAACAGGATGAAAATAAAGCAGAAATGACAGAGTCCTTGCAAGTGAGTTTTAGCTTCTCAGTGAGCTGTGGGGACAGAATAAAAAAAAGAAAACGTTTTTTGTGTGCACTGGTGTACTTACGTCGGCGCTGGTTGCGGCGTCTGAGGCGGAAGGTTTCTTTGCCATAGCAGAGCTTGTGGATGAAGGGGCCCAGCTGCCTCATATTCCTCACTCTCCCCGTCACAACCATCTCCTCGTGGATGATGTAAGTCTGAGGAAGGTATGTCCCTCTCTGTGGCAAAGAGACAAAGATGACTTCTAACATCACTTCTAAGAATCTGTCTGTAGGAGGACGAGTGCAGGCAGGAACAGTTGCTCTGCTTGCTCCTTCTGACAATCACTTGTCACAGACAAAGGGGCTGTCAGGGTGACCACAATAATAGAATACCCCAGTGCAAAGGAGGCCACTACAGTGATGCAGTGAGTCAACCAGAAGGATTGAAAACTGCTCCTGAGACTTAATACATGTAGCCAATAGTCTGAGAAGCTAACATTACTTTTGCACAATAACGCTCTTTTGTTATACTTCGTACTGTCTTTGCTGCAGCTGCCTCACTTCCACTGTGCTACAAGAAGAATATTGAAACATGGGAAAGTGTCTCACCTTTACGTTGATAAGCAGCTCCCACAGGTTGCGTGGAGGCATCACTAAGGAGGTGTTCAGCTCAGTGATGTAGCATTTGTCCAGGCTGATGTCATGATAAGCTGTGAGACCCTGGGATGAGAAAAAAAATGGGTTAAAGACAAAATATTTTTTTAAAAACAGCCAAGATTGCATAGTTGTCTCCACTTACCCTCTGGAAGTCGTGGATGATATCAGCAGGATCACTGCCTCCAAAGTGTGGCACAGGTACGCTGATCTGTTCGTAGTTGTCATCAAAGAAGATACCGACGTTCTCCTCCATTTCCTGCCTGTTCCTCAGAGAAGCGTACACAGAGTCCTCATAAACAACCCGACAGTGGAACAAACTGTCTTCTGGCATCTGCTGGAAGGACACGAAGAGACATGTTAATATCTGTTTGCACCTTTTGTATTTTCTGTACTGATTCATGATTTTAAAGAACAAACCTGTGGTATGAAGTAGTAACGATAGAAGAAGACAGAGGACAGCACTAGTCCTGATATGAAAACAACGAGGCCAATGATGAGGCAGCAGAGGCCAATCGGAAATGGCTTCTTGGATTGGGCAGGAAAAACCAGATGCTCCTGTGAAGAGAAAAGATTTGGTCAGATTTAACAAAGTATAGTCAGTAGTTTTTAACATTGCACGGTATCAAATAAAAATTCATTTTATTTTCTTTGGGGGGGGGGGGTTAATGTCAGTTGACGCACTTTTGCTGTCATACTGTCACCGTTTGGTTATCGATTTAATAAAGATGAATTTATTTAATCTTGTCAGCTGCATCACTCTTCTTTATGAAACATTGACTTGTTCCAAGATCTAAGGAGCTTCTATCAGTTGCCATTACACACTTCACAGGGTCCATATTTCTATTTCATTGCGTCACTAATTTAAACCAAGGCTCTTACTTTGAACAAAATCAAAATCAATGTATTAATGGAAACATCAAAGGATGTGACGTCTTCTCACACCTATAGGGTGTAATGGCCAAATCTGGACAATGCTAATTCTGATGTGAGGTGTTTGCCAAGTTCTTAGTCAGGCAGAGCAATGTGGTACAGCCAGCCTGGAACGAGGAGCTGCAAGATGCATCACTCACAGTCTCTCATTCAATCTGCTCCATCTCCGTACTACTGTTGCCATGGAGAGCGGAAGCAGAAAAAAATGACAGTGCCAGGTTGTGACGAAGATGCCAGCATGTGTTCGTCTGGGTCTATTATTAGAGGCTTGATTCCCTGGTCCATATTTGCATCATGAGTCCTCAAGAGGGAGGGTAAAAAAGATCTACAAACATTTGCTTTGATATCAAACCTTCTGCTGCAGCCAATTGAAATGCACAGATACGTCAGTATCACGTGTTACAGGTTGGCTGATGTAACAGGCGGGGTGGGGGGAGGGATGGGCAGACGTGATGGATGCGTCAGTAAGTGTACGTCAGAAAAAGAAAAGGGAATGAGGCATAGAAAAGCCAACCACCAGTGTGTGTCAGAAATATAACAGTGTGAAGACCTCCTGGGAGGTGGACCAGAAAAAAAAGGCTAAAATAAAGCAGATCTGTGTCACAAGCATGACTAATATTTTTGGTCTCTGGACATCAATGTCTTTTTAATACTGGCTCCTCAGCCTACCTTACTTTTCCCAGAGCAATGCAAGCTGGTAGTATACACATCTAGTCTGCCTAGTTCATGACAGAGAACCATGGCGATTTAAATTTAAACAATTATTAAGACTCAGGATGGAGGATTAGAGTCTGAGACACCTATAATCTGTGGTGTATCATGGAAATGCTGCATTAGAAGGTCACTTCCTCTTTAAAACCACTGTCTCTGCAGATTATCTTGGATCTTTTCAGCTCTACCTCTTTGTTAAAGCTGCAGGAAAAACTGTGCTCATTTAGTCACTGGGCTTTTCTTTCCTTCCTTTCAAGTAAATGAAAAATTTCTCGAGGCCTCTTAAGAGATTGGGTTATTATTCAACCTGTATCCAATACAGTAATCCTGGATTACCTCTCACCATTTCTCACTCTCACCCATTCTATAATGTGTCGCCTCCAAGGCGCTACCTCCGGGTTTCACATGGTACAACACTACATGACGTCACTGGGTGCTGCAGTGGTTCTGTCTGACACCTTTTTTGTTTTCTAATTTTACCACACAATGATGGGGGTGGGGGAGGGTGTCACACATTCATTAATGTTTTTTCTTTAATAATTATACTACACTTTTCTTTTTCTACTGCTAACTGTACACAAGGCAGCAGCTCTCCGCTATGCTGTACGTGTGTGTGTGTCCTGGCAGTGGAAAACATGCTGACGTAATGTCAACATCCTCAGGCTGGGCTGGTCTGCACTGTTTGTTCTGCCCCCTTGTTGTGATGCAGCAAATTATACTTTTTGTTTGTTAAATCAAGCTATATCAGAATAATAAATTAAACTCAATATGCCATCATTATCATCCATGCAGCTGCAGATAACCTTCGAATGAATTGATCTTTGGAACAGCATCTTTCACAAGGCAGGAAAATCTAATAGGCCCTTGTGGACTGATGACGTTTATACAATTTTAATATGTAAAGCGTTTATCCAAGATCTTTGGAGATTATTTTTACTTGTGTTTTACCTTTTCCTATTATTACAAATAATGCAATCTAAATCAATACACCTTTTATTTATGTATTTATTTTTACTAGATTATTCAAGTATTTAGTCCTGGTTTTTGTATAGACTTGGAATAAATTAAAATATTTTTTTCTATATATAAGGTTTACTATATGAACCTTAATACACAACACATTTAAAAGGTAATAGACATATGATAATATTATGACTAGAGAAATACATGCATGAAGTTAAGCTTATGCAAAAGCTGTATATATTCAAACATTTCAGAAAGACATCGCATAGACGCAGTGAAAACAATATTAACATTAAAACAAAGACGGTGCAAACTCACATGAGCCTGGGGAACAATGATCTTGTCCTCGTCTGCCTCCTTCTCCGGTTTCTGCACCGACACGGGCTGGAAAGTGATCTTCACCATGTTTTTTGCTGCTCAGTAGTTCAGTGTTTGTTTGCTTTCTCGTTCACTTCGCTGCTTTTCTTTCACCGGCCCGAGATGAGCGTTTTATAGCAGAGGAAGACTCTCGCCCCCGGTTCACAGTGACCTCAGAAGAGCGGCTTCTCTGACGAACAC